TTTCTAAACTTTCTCTTTTCTCTTAAGAATTTGATTTTATATGTTTGATAAAGATTACCCAACACTTTGTACGAAACGAAAAAAGATAACACCCTGCACGGTTTGATCACGATGGCTAGATCTGTCCGATAGGCGATACCAGTGAAGAATTTCCATAGCATCAGATTCAGATCCATAGTGTTCCGATCTTTTAAAGGTTCCGCAAGGAGTCTTTGGTATTCCTTGGCATTTAATCAAAGATCAATTGCAATCCAGAATCCATACGTAGTATTGGTTAGTTTTTGAGTATCTGATATTAAAAACAATTTGCAATCTGTAGACCCAAAACAAAACTAAAATAAAGAGTTTGAAGGACAAAACATCAAAATTTACAAGAGTAAGATCCAACGCACCAAAACATGTTATTTAATTTAAGAACACTGTGGTGTGATTCAGGTTACAAACCTCTAATCGTATAAAGAGTTGCGACGAATAAATCGTTCCAAGTGTCTGTAAGGCCAGGGAGGCACCAATGCATGCAGTCATCGTGATTCTTTCCACCAGCAGCTGCCGGATGAGCATCAGCTCTGTACTCGCTCATTCGAGTTATGTCCAAAACGTGGAAGGCGCTTCTACTCTTAAGCGAATTATGCAGGTGTTGATTCACCAATCGAACCTCTACATTTGTTCCGTTGTTCCTCACCGAGAACAATTCTTCAACCTACCACAAAAAAAATGAAACAGATTATTACCCAATTTACTGTCCTAAAGCTGAAGTTCTAAAATTTCACACTCTACCCGTTATCTAGTTCATACCACTCCCAAAAACCATGGTATTCATGATCACTGGATAGAGCAACGGGGGTATTGATAATTAGTAACTGTCAGATCAACAAGGTACCCGAATGTTACCACTTACCAGTCCCATTTACTCATGTGATCCCTGGTTCGAAATACTCATACTGTCCAGAGTACCGAAAAGAATGGGTGCGAATACTCCAATGCCAGAATACCATACCAAAATACCTCAGTCCCCGACATATCTGATCCAAAATACTCAAAAATACCTACGTAACTTGAGATACCTATAAATACAACATATATTTATTCTTCATCTAGGTAACTTATCAAACCAAGCTACCCGTACATAGTACATTTATTCTCAGGTACCCAAAATTCTTGTTATCTACGCTCTTCTAGGCCTGGTAAATAGTTGGAACTTCTGAGGATATCTGGCCATTCCCACCCATCGTTCATTATATAAACTAATAATTTGATGTTCAAAGACCTGTACGCTCGTCAAAGAGAATGTGCTTATGCAAACTAATTATTTTCTGTAGCTTTTTGTGCGTGTGTCAGCGTGTGCGTGTGTTTATGGCATTCAACACTTTCATAACATCAGTTAACAATTAGGTCAATAATAAAATTGATCGAAAATTACTTACTTCTGCAGGTAACAAAGGTTGCAGTCGTTGACAAGTACCACCTTGGTCCCAATCACCTCCTTCAAAATGCCTGGGTGATTGTGTCCGGAAGAATATGATCCCCCCCGGTCGCTTTGTTTTCTCCATAAAATTTACCTATTATAATGGTTTGTATGAGGATCACAATATTTCACTACCAATAGTTCATCATATCACACCCTTCGGTTCTGGCTCAAAGACAGATTTCCAATACAAAATGCTATAAAGTCAGCCAGAAGTAATCATATCACATGCTCATTTTTGTAAACAGATAATCTAGTGGAGTTTTCAATGGCAGTATCAAATATCTTAAGCTGTCTTGCAATAACAAAGGAAAACAGAGAAATTCAGACAGCATACCATATTGCTCAGAACCCGATCCAGGCCAGCAGCAGGAGGTATAGGAGGAAGTGTTGGCCGGCCGCCTTCAAAGAAAAGCATAGGAGAATTTAAAGGATCAAATTTTGATGGCGCCCACCACCTTACAAAGAGAAAGACAACAAAAGACTTTTAACAGCATCTCAAGTTCACATAACAAATTTGTGTCTAAATGAAAGATAACAAACCATGGTATCATTTAACAAGTATAATGAGACTCTTTCACCCATGAAATTTAACGCAATGATCAGCATAGAGAACATATATTTCCAAGTCTTTTATTTCTGCAATCAGCAGTACCAGCAAATCTTTTGGCAAGTTGACAGGTTTCATTTTGTGACTGTGTCATATATGTATGTGTGTATTTTAACTTAAGAGCGCAGTGGACTGATTGGAACAGAGAGTAGCTCAAACAAGGAGGATTTCCCACTTCACACAACAATATCTGGAACTTAATGTCTAAATACAAGCATGAACCAGAGGTAGACGAACTTAGTGACTGTGGTCATATGGCATTGGATCTAACGTTGTGGTAAATCAGCTGATGATGCATTTAACAAATTCAACAGGTTTCATTTTAATCAGAAAAGAAATGTAAAAAAGGTACTTACCAATGCCCAGTGTTCAAAACAAGAATGTCATGGAAGTTTGGAGCCTTTGCCCATGAGCTTTCAGGTATATCAACATCAACTCTATAGCCCTCTTTAAATCCAAGAGCTTCTAACTCACCACCATTAGCATTAGCTGACCACCTGAATTCAGCGATAGGAATTATGTCTGATCAGTTTGAAACCCATATTAAACCATGGTATATCTACGTTATACATGCACAAAGTTAAGAGAGACACGAATAAGCATGAAAAGAAGGATTACAGTAGACAATTATAATGGATATAAAATACTGTGCAAACATAAAACAGGTAGCACAATCTTAAAGTTGGAGAAGCTACAAGAAATTTACTCTAAAAATACAAATCTTCCGAGGAACATGATAGCATGCAATAGAGCAAACAAAAAATCAATCAGTAAACCAAAAGTCAGTTAAAACAATACGCATTATATACTATCATTTTCACAAACCAAGATACATGAGCACCAAAGAGAACTTAGCTTACCTACCATGACGTGCCAAGAGATTTGTTCGATGATACGCAATGGTAAGATTATATTGCAAAAATGTGAATCCACGATCTGCACCAGCTGGACGCCACTTCTTCAAATCACCCGTCACAGTCTTTAACATGCAGAACAGAGATACAAACATGTTCCTATTCAAGGAATCACCCACAAATCCTGCACTGTTGAAAAATCTTAAGACGTACAGAACACACAAACTCCTTGACCAAACAGCAAGAATGTCATTTTCATATTCAAGAGTACCATCAAAGGGCTCAACAGAGTTCAAAAACCTATCAGGTTCACTAGCACTTTTGACTTAGCTTCTGATTCCTCAAATTCCAAATACAAGTACTAAATAAGTAGTGCTTGAAGGAGTTTGAGAGAAGATATCGTACCGATGTTGGTATTTTGGTGAGTCTCGAGAAATTTAAGTGGATCAAAAGATGGAAGATCACAGTCCTTAGGCTTCCATCGCCACTTGGAGATCTCGAGGCCGTTAGTTTTGTTGTTACGAACGCAGTTCCATCCTTTGAAGATCTCTTTACAGCTACTATCATACCTAGCGGATCTGGGATTAGAGTCGTAGATCCAGGACCCATCAGAGAAGTCGCAAACGGCGGAGACACCAGTTCGGGAAGCGTCGGATCTCGGGGGGAAGACGGTGGCGGAGCGGTGGGTGGTGGGAGAGGAGAGAGAAGCGCGTTTTGATAGAGAGAGAAGGAAGAAAATGGAGATGAAACAGAGAAGCGATAATAGAGGGAAGAGAGAGAGTTTGTTGGGTGGAGTCGTAGCCATCTCTCATAACTTGTCAGCCATGGCGGAGATTAGGCTTCTTCCCAAATTTAAAGTTTTTACGT